CCTGTCTCTGCCTCCCCAGTGCTGGGATTAAAGATGAGTCACCACCGCCTGGCAAAATAGCATTTTTTTAAATGAAAAAATTAAAAGAATTTCGTTTACTGTAATTTTCTGAGCCAGTGGCCTGAGAAGGATCAATGGGAGCTTGGATGTGAGGTCATCACACAAGTTTCCCAGGTGGCTTTTGTTTTCCTTCCTGCTCTTGGAGGAGACTCTACTTATGCACTGAGCTGTAATGAATGGGGAGGCTAGAGTCAAGCTTGGGTTTTATCCATGGGCACCCTAGACCCAGTACTTAGGCCCTATTTTTTGTTTGCAATGATTTTCATTCTGTTTTGGAAGAAAGAACATGAAGTTCAGTGGGTGTGGGTGTGGGGAGGACTGACAGGAGTTGGGGAAGGGGAAAATGATAAAAAATAGATCAAATGACCAGGCGTTGGTGGCACACGCCTTTAACCCCAGCACTCGGGAGGCTGAGACAGGTGGATCTCTGTGAGTTGAGGACAGCCTGGCCTATAGAGCGAGTGCCAGGACAGGCTCCAAACCAATACAGAGAAGCCCTGTCTCAAAAAACCAAAAAACATCATATATACATTGTTTTTTTTTTTATGACAGGGTTTCTCTGTAGCAGTCCTGGCTGTCCTGGAACTCACTCTGTAGTCCAGGCTGGCTTCAAACTCATAGAGATCTGCCTGCCTCTGCCTCCCAAGTTCTAGAACTGAAGACATGCACCACCGTTGCCCAGCTTATGGAAAACATTTTTAAATAAAAAAATTGGCTAGACCAATAGGCCAACAAAGCCCCAGGGATTGTCCTGTTTCTGCCTCATGTTCAGATTTTTGTTTGTTTTCACATGAGCTCAGGTCCTCATGCTCCCATGCCAAGTACTCTACTGACTGAGCCATCTCTCCAGGTCTGCTAATTGTTCAGTGAGTGGGCATTGGACAGTGGGTGAAGCACGTCCCAGGGAATACAGCAGTGTGGTGTTCCCAGGTTCAAAGGAAGCCCACTCTTTGCCTGGTGGACTGTCCTTAGCTAGCTCTGGGCTCAGCATCTCAGGGAGCAGGGAAGGAGGAAAGCAGACCCATGGCCAAATATCCTGCTAGTTTAGCAACATGGTTGTAGCTGGAGTTTCTTTCCAGCCTGGTCAGCGGCCAGTCAGTGTTTTATTCATCAACCAATAAGAGAAACATATATGCAGAAGGACCTCCCCCATCACATGGCTATTAAAGGACTCCAGTCTTTGAATTCAGCCAAGTGGGCACAGTGAAGACTAAGACAGAAGGGAGGAGAGTGAGACAGAAGGGGGCAGAAGAAAACAGAGGAAGAAGGAGAGACCAGAAGGGAAAGTAATGGGGTGGAGAGGGAGTTTCCCAGAGCTGCTATTGATAAAATCCTGATCCCTCTCCTCGTCTCTGCCTGGGATCCTCCCTTGTCCTACTAGCTGGTGTGAACACACACACACACACACACACACAGATCTGCACTGCTAAGAGAGGGGTTTGACAGTGTCAGCGAAGCCACCAAAACAGTGACTTCATCTAGCTCTAGTCCCCCCTGCAGGTCTCTCCTCCCTTTTCCCTTCCAGGGTCGAACTGAGCTATGTCCTTGTTGCCCTTAAGCTGTCTTGTGGGAGGGAGGGCTTAAAAGTCTTGGTTTTGCCCAGTGTCCAGAAGAAGGAAGGCGGCTGGTGCTCCGTGATTGTCTGACTTGTGTTTACCCAGAGTCGAGGACACCTTGGAGGGGTCCACTCCCATGGGTCACATTTCAGACACAACCTCCTTCTTTAGGTCCCTGCCTGGCTACAGACCATAGCCTATAGACTATAGCCAGGTGACATTTATCCGAACTCCCCAGAAAGACCAATGGAAGGAGGGTGCAAGGGGGTGACACTAAGGGGTCCTACTGAGACTTGTGCTGGGTGGTGCCACTCAGCATGGCACCTGCATGGCCCTTCACATTCACACTTCCGTGGCATCCTTGTCTCTACCCTGTGAGTACTGTTCTCAGCCCCCTGTCTTTGTCTACGATATTGTACTGAACAGGGGGTCACAAATGGCTGCAAGCCACATCCAGCAACCAGTCCTCAACTAAAACCAGAAAGCAGAGAAAGATTTAGTCCATGTGGTCATATTGGGAAGAGGGACAAACAGAGTCAGCGACACCGACACCACCCCCTGCCAAGTCAATTTTTGGGGTCCTAATGTAATATTAAAGTTTGAACAGAGCACTAAGGATATGCACATCTAAGCAGATTCTGACTCCCAAGTTCAAGAAAATAATTTCACTTTCCCTTGGCACTCAGGCTACTCAGCAGCAGAGAGCCTCCACACCTCTGGACTATCAGGAAAGCCGCTGTCCCTCCCTCCCTCCTTCCTTCCCTCCCTCTGTGCTCTTTGGCCTTCATTTCTCTTCTGCTTTGCCCATAGCCCGAGCTGAGCCTGTGTGGGGCCTGTGATATCTGGCTGTCACCTATCTCTGGGGCCTGAGGTCCACCCCCATCCCCTACCCAGCTTTCCCAAGAGACAGAAGTAGACTTATTCCTCCCAGAAGGACCCAGAACCTCTCCAGCTACTGTCTACAAATCCCAGCCAGGAACTGCTCTTCACACACACTCCAGGGGAATTAAGTCTCCTCTATACACACTCCACATACTTATTCTGACTAGTAAAGTGCCTGATCTCCCCAGCTGCTTCTCTCTCTCTCTCTCTCTCTCTCTCTCTCTCTCTCTCTCGCTCTCTCTCTCTCTCTCGCTCTCTCTCTCTCTCTCGCTCTCTCTCTCTCTCTCGCTCTCTCTCTCTCTCTCTCTCTCCTCCCCCCGTGTGTGTGTGTGTGTGTGTGTGTGTGTGTGTGTGTGTACAGAACTGAGTATATATACTGCATAGTAAGTAAGTTCATTTGTGGAGTGTAGAGGCGAGTATGTTAATGTGTGTAGCTATTAAGAACCCACAGATTTCTGATGCATGAGTCATCAGTTAGGGATAAATGTTGGGAAGAAGCTGCCCATAAATAAGATATCAGTCCCTGACCCGACCTGCAGCTGGTCAGCACATGATCCCAGGCATCCCGGAGGGAGGTTGGGGCTGGGGCTGGGGCTGGGGCTGGGGCTCTGGCGGCTGGGGCGGGGGCTCTGGTTGTCTCTTTCCTCTAACTTCAGGGTGTATCTCTCACAGGTATTTCGAGCTTGCTTGGTGTCTCTGAGATTTAAGGATGTAATGCCTGGAATGAGATGGGAGTGAAAGGCAGGAGAGGAGAGGGGACTAAAGGGTGACTCAGACCATTTCCAAGGATCCCAGTAGGGGTTTACTGCTGACAGGCAGAGAAATCCATTCATCATACAGATACTTTTGAGAATCGGTCATGCAGCTACCCCCGGGGGCTAGGATACCATCAGGAATGTAGCTGCGGAACTCTCCCCTCACCAAGCTTATTCTCTCCTGGGAGAGGCAGAATCTAACGATGCAGAAAAGGCTGCTTTTAAAAACTACGAGAAAGGGGCTAGAGAGATGGCTCAGCAGTTAAGAACACTGTCTGCTCTTCCAGAGGACCAGGGTTCAATTCCCAGCACCCATATGGCAGCTCACAACTGTCTGTGACTCCATTTCCAGGGGACCTGACACCCATGTCAGAACACCAAAGCACATTGAATAAAAAATAAAGGAAGAACCCTGTTTTTTTTTTTTTTTTAAAAAAAAACAACACGAAAAGAACGGGATAATCACACATGAAAACGGCAGGGGATGCTTAGCTGGGATGGCCAGGGAAGAGAAAGGCATGAGCTAGGCCTACATACTGAGGATG